TACTATAAAAAAAAAAATTATAATTAGATCAGTTATTCCTAGTTTGTATTAAAAAATATTTGTTGTATTAAGAAATATCTTTTATTTTTTTTGACAAAAAATACTTGTATTTTTTTTTTACGAGAAAATATGATATTTGTTATATTACTCTTTTTTTTTTTGACAAGAAAAAAAGGAAGATGTTATATTACCTTTTTTTTTTTTTGCTTGTTCTATTACTTTTTATTTTTTTTATTTCTTTTGTCATATTATTTTCTTCATTTTAGTTTTTTTTTTAAGATAGAAGTAAAAACCTATCTTCTTTTTTTTTATGAAGAAAAATTTTAGTTTTTTTTTTAAGACAAAAGTAAAAACCTATCTTCTTCTTTTTTTTATGATATTATTTTTTTAAAAAAAAATTATGAAGACAAAAAGTGAATTTTGCACAATAGCGTCCGAACTAGGATTCAAACTTGGGACGTCATGCATAAAACCTCTGCTTCTAACCACGGCAGCCCTTCGCGCGCTATTAAAGAATTTTGTACAATATTTACCTATATGGTATGAATTTTCAATATAATATCGCTTACCGCAAGTCCCACATCGAAGATTTGAAGAAAGTCAATAAGATATAAATACCTTTACAAAAGCCTTAATGCCAGCATGATGAAGAGAAAGGGTAACCTGAAATGATATTTTTGAAAATAATTACCAAAATGTCCTCAGGTAAGGACTCACCCTGTGACGTCACTAAGCGGTTGGAATCCCGATTTATGACGTGAATCGCCGATTCTCTTCCAGGATCGGACGATTCCCGGTTTTGCAAAAGAATCGACCTAGGGTGCCCGATTCCCTTGTCGACTCGGGCGAGTCCATTGTGACTCGTCGATTTTTAAAACCCTGCACACGACACATTAGTTTTCCTGAATGCCTCCTCATTAGAAGTGGAAAACCTTTGGCTATATCTCAAATGTTTCCAATTGGCCACTGGTTTCAAGGTCAATATAGAGAAATAAAAAATGATGGGTATAGCAATTGACCACAGCCAAATCAGAGAGCTCATACTAGCTTGGGAATGCAAAGTGGAAGACTTCCCAACTACCTACCTGGCCCTACCTCTGGGATTAGGAAAACCAAAATAGAGACACTGGTCGCATGTCATCGACAAGGTAGATAGAAGGCTGGCTGGATGGAAAGGGAGATACCTCTCCCAAGTAGGAAGGACTACCCTCATCAAATACCTGCTTCAGTGGCCAACCACCTTGACCAACTCATGAGAAACTTTGTAGGCCGACAAAACCAAGTTCCATCTTATTTCCTGAGACAAGGCATGCTTACCCAAACATCAGGGGGGGTTGGGGATCAGACACTTGAGAAAGCAAAACTTAGCCCTCCTAGGAATATGGTGGTGGCGCTTGGCTACCCAAACAGATACTCTTAGGGCTCAAGTATTATGGAATAAGTACAATATTCCATATCATACCTGGGTACCAGAGAAAAAACCATGGTCCAACGAATCAGGAACGTGGAGGTCCTTTACCTCCTCCCTCGCATCATTCAAGAAACTCATCATGTTCCACCCAAGAGAAGGCACAAGAGTGCGCTTCTGGTCTGACCTATGGCTAGGTCACACACCATTGAGGGACTGCTATCCCTCTCTTTACTCTATTGCAGTGAATAGAGACGCCACAATAGAGGAGGAGTTGAGATCAGAGGGAGGAAGAAGCAGATGGCATCCATCATTTAGAAGAAACCTCTCAAAGGAGGAAACAAACCAATTCCTCTCACTCTCGGCACTGTTGCACAGTACTTTTATTCCTATCCAAGGTAGGTATCAGTTGGTGTGGTCCCTCGTCCCTTAAAGGGAGTTTACCGTGGCCTCCTTCTACAAAAAACTCACCCAACCCCCCACTTTCCCTCTTAATCCAACTTCGATACTCTCTCAGGTATGGCAGACTATAGCGCCTCCCAAGGTGAAAACATTCAATTGGATAGCAAGCTCCCACAAGGCACTAATTGTTTGATCACCTACAAAAGAAAGGAATCCCAATTCCCAATAGGTGCATCATGTGCTTGTGTGAAGAGGAATCGAATAATCACCTCTTTCTCCATTGTGAGTTGGCTCACTATCTTTGGAGCCGACTGCTGCAACTGTTTGATGTCCTTTGGGCAACACCACCAACGGTCAAAAATCTACTTGCTTTGAATTTAGCCTCACACTGGCCGAGAGCGTGAAGAATCCTATGGAAAGCAGCAGTGGCACCAACGGTTTGGATTCTCTGGAAAGAAAGAAATGCTAGAATCTTCCAGGGACAAGCCTGCCTAGCCCGTTCACTCTTTCACAAGGTTACATCCTTAGTAACATTCTGGGAATCAAACCACCTGTTCAAAGGTATCCCAACGAACTCTTTCCTAACTCAATGGAAGCATATCCTTCTACACAAACCAAAGCAAAAGAAACTTTCAAGCGCTTGGAAACACCCCCCTCAAGGAGCAATCAAATAAACTTTGATAGATGCTCTCTTGGAAACTCTGACCCTGACCATGCAGGTGCAAGTGGGGTTTTTAGAGATCACCAACACAACATCCTCTTCACCTACTCCGAATACCTTGGCATCCAAGATTCACAGTATGCCGAATCTTTGGCCCTCCTCAGAGGCCTGCAAAATTTCGATCGATTTTGGGGATAAAAACCTATTAGTTGAGGGTGATGCCCGAAACTTGGGCGTCCGGGAAAGCTATTCCCCCTTGGTATCTTGCACCTCTTTAAGATGAGATTGTACACCTTTGCAGGGATATGCCCGTCTCATGAATGCATACCTCAAGGACGTCAAACGAGCTCCCGGATCTGCTGGCCAAGGACGGAGCCAAGGCCTACGATGCAGACTAGGTCCATACCATTTTTTGGATTGTGTCGGCCACAAAGGATGAAGACTAGGAGTACCCCTCTCCTGAAATGGGCAACTTTTTTACCCTCTTTTTTGTAAACTCACTATATACTTTGTAAGGAGGTAAACTTATAACCCCATTTTGTATAGGGTCTGTTGACCTATTCTTTTGTACCAGGAGTCCTATCTAGTAAGGCACTCTCGAGCTAACCCTAACATATTGTACTCTCATTCTCAAAGCAATACAAACATCAACAGTTCTCAAAAAAAAAAAAAAAAAAAAGATGACTGTGGTAGCTAACTACAATCGAAAGATGTTCCTTTTTCTCTTTTTTATTCTTTTTGATTGATACAATCGATACATATCATATGTGAAGAGTAAGGGAATCATAAGAAAATGGGAATGGATTCTGATCTCTAAGCCTGATTTACAATGCAATAGAACTTACCCATGAGAAATAGTGATAGGTTAGAGCAAATAAACATATCAGTCAGTAACAAACTTAACCAATGTTATGTCCATGGTGTACAATTTAAAAACTTTCACATAAAAACCTCATACAAGCACATGCACATAGCTCACTTCAAACAAATTCTAGCAATATATCAATGGAACAAGACTCAAACATTGCCATAAATTTGGCTGAAAACAAGGCCCAAGACACACCTCTAACTTGCCCCCACTCTCTTTTCCAGTCAAAAACACAATTGAGATTACTTAGAGCAAAACAATCCATACTAGGACAAAATTCAGCTCAAGTATAATAAGACTAGTAGTATAAACTTACACAAGTTATGTGGGGTATACATCATGGAGCATGATCTACTCAACGATGGCTATGGGACAAACAACACAAGGAGAAAATTAATGGTGTTGGGTGTGGGAGACTAAGTACCTTCCAAGAAAAACTCGGGCAGCATAACACTACAATGCGATAGATTAAAAATGAGTCCCCCCCATGTCTCCTATTTATAGATGAGAGCTAGAGTTTCGTAAGATCCTAGACGCTTCTCCTTAAGATGGAGCAATCTGAGTCATTGATCTAGGAAACCAATAAAGTGAAAGAGGCTTCATCTAAGTCATCCATCTCTTAATGAGCTATTATCAGCTCATTATCAATCAGGGATTGGGATTAAACACCTTAACCCTTATGTTCCCAGATCCTTTTTTTTTGTTCTTTCAAACTATGCATAACACTAGATTAATTAACATATAAGCCCTTAAAATATCTAGATATTTTATTTTTCACATTATACTTAAATGGAGAAAGGTAAAAGAGAAAGGGGGGCTTGCCATACAGGAAGGCCCTCCCTCTTTTCACATGAGAGGAGAGAGAAGAGATATTCTAAAAATATCTACCTTTCACCTTTAACCAACCCACACATATGACTTATCAAAATGAAGCATGTAAGTAAGATAATTTTACACATAGGATGGATCTTTAAGTGACATGTGATGAGCCCCCAACCGATATCCAAAATGCCCCTTGACATTAGGAGCAAATGACCAAGGGTTGCCCCTCAATTCTGACGACATGTGACTAAATTAGAATACCACATTGGCCCCATAATAGATACAAGTATGACAAATAAGCCCAAGCCACTATTCTTATCATGTTACAACAATCTCATTTTTCACCCTGTTTTATGGGGCCTTGAAGCTATAGAATTCTAATCATGCATGTGTATAGATAATTCTAAGAAAGTGGATTATATATAATAGAAAAATATATATAAATATATCTATATGCATGTATATAGCACACTCCCCAAGAACTCCCATATACAAAAGTACATGAAGCATGCAACTAAATAGCAAGCTTCAGCCATGGGTTGATCCTAGGTTCTCGCACCCTCTCCAGCTCCCAACGACTATAACTCAAACCATATTCCATGCACCACAGAAGTGTTTTCCAATACAAGAAGGTGATACTAAACATATGTAAAAATGAAAAATTGAACTTTAATGGTTCTATGTCCAGGTAAGAGTATGGAAAAAACCAACTATGAGAAATCCCAAATAATTTATGCGAAGTAGAAGAACACATTGCAGAAAATTGGGGAGAAGTTACCATTCCACAAAGTTTATTAAAGGAAATCTATACATATTTCAGGAAAGGGTGACTATCATACCGAAGTTGAGGAGCTTTTCCATCTTGCAAGCTTTTTGAGGGCTCTATGACTGCCAATGGCACCACATCTTGTGCAAGAGGGGCAGACGTGGTTGGAGAGCTAGAGTAGGGAAGAGAGGGAACTCCCTTTACCTTTGGAATCCTAGGCTTCTCTCTGGAGCCTTGCCCACCAGCACTAACACTCATATTCCTCCATTTGTCCTGAGTATATTAAACATCATTGCAAAAGAGTGAATAATATCCTGAGGCATAAAAAATGCTTCATGCACTCTGAAAAAAAAATGCAAGATTATACTAACAAAGCATACCATAGCCAGAACAAACACACCTAAATATTTCCTTTTATGAAAAATACAAACTACAATTTAAAAAGAATATTTAAATTCCAAGCAAACCTAGAAAGAGATAGCATTTTCTTTGGAAAACAAACAATAAGATGGAATTAAAGAGAGTAAATGATAAGATCAAAGTAGAACCCACTAACCACTATCATCACAAGTAAAGAAAGTATCAAATAAGAGGAACGTATAAATCTCCTTCTCAAAAAAAAGGGGAACTTATATCTAGCTACAAGGTCGCATAGATCAGGAACATCAATCCCACTCATTTATACCACCATATTAGCAAACCCATCAGATACTAAATTAGCCTTCCGCTGCTTTATGAGCACAATAAAACATCATCGTCAGAGCCTTTCCCAACTATCTGGGGTTGGCTACACGAATTCGAGCCCGCCACATTTTGCTCTGTCAAGGCCATACCCTCAGTGAGGCTATATCCAACCATGTCCTCTTGGACCCTATCGTGTACCTTTTTTTAGCATTCCACTTGAATTAACTTGCACCTCCTAACAAGTGTTGTCTTGGACCAACTACACATGGCCAGCCCACCTAAGTCTACTTTTTCTCATCTCATTGCCTATTGTAGGCCATCCTAAGTTTTCTCGAATGTATTCATTTCAAATTCTGTATATTTTTTCTTGTCACTCATACATCTCAACATCCTATCTCAGCTACACTCAACCTATATGTATGTTATTTCTTGACCGTCTAACATTCTGCCCCATAAAGCAAAATTGATATTATAGTTGCCATAGAGAACTTCCCATTTAGCTTCATTTGAATGCAGCGATCACATAAAACTTCAGTCGCACATCTTCCCTTTGCTCACCCAACTCTAATCCTATGTGCGACATCTTCTTCAATCTCTCCATTTTCTTGAATTATCGACCCAAAATATCGAAAGTGCGCTCTTTTTAGTACTTTTTGGCCGTCAATATTAATTACTTCCTCGTCTCTACGCCTATTATTACTAAACTTGCATTCCATATACTCTATCTTAATCCGGCTAATTTTAAAACATTTAGATTCCAGAACATCCCTCCAAAGTTCTAACTTTGTGTTGACGTTGCTTCATGTCTCATCAATCAAAACCATGTCCAAAGTTTAGTTTGGAAACATGGCCATTTGTTTCCTCCACCCATTTAGGAGTGGAAAAGGCCCGGCTTGTTCCACTCCTATATTCAGTGATGATGAAATTTTGTAACCCTGCATGTCAAGAAAAGACTTTACCCTGCAAAAAAAAAATTGCGTTCCCCCATTCATAAAAAACTCCCTTGGAATTATTCAGCCATGCAAATGGGGCCTCCTAGGTAATTTAATATACTTAAGATAGGCAGTATTGGAACAAGTTCCAATAACATAGCAACATGAGAAGGTTTCCATGCTATGCAATTTGAGATAATACACAGTTGTACTCAAAGTGTCGTGATAAGAAATCTAACAGATTCATACTAACACATGGAAAGTAACACAAGAACAAGGAATATCACATGCACAAGAATTCAAAATATGATCAGCCAAACATAAGTATGAGAACACATTTAACAAAAGTTATCAACCACACTCCTTAACTAGAGAAGAATAAAAATCAAAGCCACATGTCAAGGAACCCACTATTTACAATTTTTCAGATGGAAGAAGTGTTACCCCTTGGATCATCAACATAACAACAAATGGTCAATAAGCAGATTCAGAATAGAACATCTCACATTCATGACACGGATGTATAATAAAATCTATGCGTGACCAAAATTCTCAATTTACTGCAATCAGGTGGCCTGAAATGTTATTCTATATTGGATGTAATGTCTAAAGCTGAAAGCAACCCAATTTATGAGAAAAATGTAAGTGAGAACCACAAGTGACCACAAATATTAAACATTTGAACTCAAGAGCTCCAAAGTTTGGAGTAAATGAGTGATAAGCGGACCCTGTTCCAAAGGGCTAGATAAACATCCGACAAATGGCAATCGAAAAATGAAGTCGGGAATCATGGTTGATTATCAACCCAAAGAGGGTGCAAGAACGCTTCCAAGAATGCAAAATCCACATTCAACTTGATTATTCTAGTTATTAAGTTTTAGGAGATATGTTATCAAAGAGGAGATAACTAAAGCATCACTTACCATCTGAGCCAAAGCTCACAACCATCAAGATACAGGTGCGATAGCCACAAACACCCAATGGGAATTGGTCTTATTAGCACAACCCTTTGTGAAGCAAATGTATACATTAGGAGAGATAAGAGTTCCTTCCAAGATAGGAACAAGCTATTGAAAACACTTCCTTGCAAATATGTGATTACCTGTTAGGAATAAAAGGACGATGTTCTAATAGCAACCAACTTAATCATGGAAGTTTTCAGTTACATCTTTCTCACAAACAAGAAAAAAAAGGTCTCAATTATTAGCTCTTTTGAGAACAAGGAAGACGAAAAGATTACCCATCTACATATCAATTGCAATTTCATTTAAGAGATCTAGTTCTGGCCTTGGAGACATTTTGCATATAGACTGTGTAACCCTAGGCATCAGTGATATCCAGGATTCATTGACACGGAATAAGAGAGGAGCTCTAAATTATGCAAGTTGATTTGTCAAAATGAATACTGGGACCGTTCTTGGAACAGCTACGAAGTTACTATAAGTTAACTCATGCCTGAACCAATAGCAAGAAGGACTTGGGAATTGAAAGTTTCAAACTTAATGAGCATCTCTAACATTGTAGTTTTCAATAGCTTCTAAATTGTAGATCATACCATAAAGGCTATTTCACTAGTTCAAAGGAGTTCCAAAATAAATCAAGAGGGTATTTGAACAGTTCTCAAGTAAATGTCTGCAAAATAACATTCAAAGGACTGCACCCCTAGTGCAATAATCCAATTATGAGAAAAACCCAAAGGCACAACACATGCACATGCATGCATGCACGCACGCGCACACACATATATGGGAGATTTACGGTTTTATTTTTGGGATACAAAAATATTCCCATATATTTCAGATTTTACACGAAAGTTCCACTTTTAGAACGTATAAAGAACACACGTGCACGCACCCACACACACACACACACATGGGAGATTAACATAAAGACCCTATTTAATTTTCGAGACTCAAAAATAGTCCTAGATGTTTCATATTTTATATTGAAATTCCACTTTTTGAAAGTATAAAGTGTATTTTAATTTTATCTTTTTATCCATAGATTGGATCACGCTCAAATTCGTTATGTCCATACTTCACAACACACACACACACACACACAAGCATATGAGAGATTTACATAAACATCCTGTTTTATTTTTAGAATTCAAAAGTAGTCCCATATATTTCATATCTCACACTGTAAGTCCCCCCTTTTTGAAAGCTTAAAGTGCTTTTTAATTTTATCTTTTTTTTTTTTGGGTAAGTCAGTGGGGGAGAAGGCCCCCTAGTCGCTTTTTAATTTTATCTTTTTATACATTGGATTAAGCTCAAATTCGGTATGCCCATGCTTCTCACCATCATACGCCTATAAAAAATTAAAAAATAAAAATAATAACCAAAATATCTCTCGATTATTCAAGGGTATTTGGGTATTTTTATTCTAATTTTTAATATTTTTTACAAGTGTGTGATGGTAATTCGAGCTTAATATGATGAAAGCTAAAAAGATAACACACTTTATGCTTTCAAAAAGTTGGACTACAATGTCAAAAATTAAGTATATGGAACTATTTTGAATTCCAAAAATAAAACAGGAATTTTGCGTCAATCTCCGAAGGCACCGGCGAGTCTTCAAAGTTCTCAAAAAATAGCAATGCAGACTTTTTGCAGGTACGTGAATGAAGAAAAACCAATAAATTAAACACATAATACAGGTACTCCTCCGGTTCTTAAGTTTAGCATTTCCACCCCAAAAACGTAAAAACAAAGCTATCCTAAAGAACAGCTAAACACTTCCCAGTTCTCTCGACTTAGTAAACTTTTGGGACCAGTTCAAGTCACAGCTCCCCACTTAACTGGCATCCCAAACTAATCAAAAATAAAAATCTAAAGAGTAAAACCTATAAATATGATAAAATAGGCAAAAGATCATGAGAGAGAGACTGAACCACGCCAGAAAATATAAATATATTACATACTGTCAAGAATCCAACATCTCTTAAACTTTGTTGAATCACAAAAAAGTGCCTTCAATAAATCAAGTATAAAAAGCGAATAGGAATCCCTCAAAAGACTTATGATATAAGTAAGAATCCAGGAGTCAAGAGAGAATGAAAGGAACGAATGCAATAAAACTCTAAACAAAAAGGGATTAACAGTTCCACCTTGAGATCGACATTTGACCGAGCAGAGAGCCATTGACTGAATTCTGGGTCCTTCTGTATGGTTCTCCACTTACCAGCTCCATGTTTGTCGACTCCAGCTCTTAGAGCATCCTCCTCGTCTGATGTCCATTTTTGCTTAGGAGCCCCCATTCTTGCTTCCTGACCGTTTTTTGTAGTTACCCTCTCTCGTCCTGAGAAAAGATCACCATGAATTCCAGGACACCGAGATCCAGCGGTCTTTTAGGGTTTTCAACGGTCTTTCAGCGGTTATTCAGAAACCCTTGTTTTTAGCCAGATTTGTTTATTGGGCTCCTCACACTCTGGAAGCGACGACTGGAGATGAAGCAACTTCCCAAATGCAGCTTTGGATGATGGGGTGGCGGGCAGCGATAGATTCATTCACAGTGAGTCGGCGTCATAAAAAGCTTGCGAATTTAGTCCGGCGGGATCAAAATGTACACGCGTTCCATCAATGCAAAAGACCTAATATATTTTGATAAATTTATGGCAATATTCCCTTTTTTTAAATCTATCTCCCATATTTCGTAATTTATAATCGTATCCCCTTTTTTATATTTTAATTGTTTCTAAAGTACCATTGGTTCTGAGATTCAAACTCGGAACCAAAATTATTTATGAGTTCGAAAATTGAGATTATGAACCCGTTTTAAAATCCAAATCGGTTTGTTTGAGAGAGAGGGGGGAGGAACGAGTTGAGTGTGTCAGAAGTGGCATTTGGATTATGAAATTTCAAATTCAAAACTCACTAAAGTATTTTGGATTTTCAAAAATCAAAACTAGCTGATTAAAAAAGAATTGTTTAGTACTTCAATTTCTAGACTAATTTATTGATAGTTATGGTTCGGATTTTGAAGTTAGAAACAACGGCTTTTAGAGAAAAAAAAAATCAAAAAAATAGGGACATGAATTTCCCAAATACTTTCTAAAATGTAAATATTTTGGTGCAATTGCAGTTGTACAACTACAGCAGCATCCAAACCTATCTCAAAATCCGATTGCTGCCATATTGTAGGAGGATCCTCAAAGGGATATTGGAATTGTGCCATGAGAAACCAAGGGAAATTGTCAGCTAATATACCTTAGTTTTAAAAAAATAGCAAAAAAAAACTCCAAACTTCTCAAAACCTCACCCACACTTTTTTTTTCAATTTTCAACATTTTCTGTATGAAAATACATTTACTCCCTCGACAAAAATCCACGCTAGCTCTAATTTTTCAAATATCATATTTTTAAGATATAATCTCTACTTAATTTTTATATGTTTCTCGAAATTTTAGAACTAAAACATGGTTAAATAGGTGTTTTTTAGTGAGAAAGTAGATCCACATCTTGTTCGCATGGGAATATAGATTTTTTTAAAATGGTAGCATGATATTAGCTTTGGTTTGAAGCTTTTAAAAGCTTCTATCCTTTTATCATCATCATAATACTTTAAAAGCTTCAAACCAAAGCAAATATGATGGCTATCTTTTTCAAAAAATCTATGTTCCCATAGGAGCACAATGTGGATCTAGTCCCTCGCTCAAGAACATCTATTTAAACGTGTTTTCGTTCCAAATTTTGAGAACCAAATAAAAATTAAGTAGAGATTATATCTTAAAAATTTGAAATTTGAAAAATTACAACTAGCGTGGATTTTTGTCGATGGAGTAAATAAATAGTAGGCTCGAGAGAGTAATGTTGAGTTAGGCAGCATTACTGTACTTAAATTACCGTAATACTACTTTAAAGTATTAGGGTATTTTACTTACCGTAATACTCTATGTTATTACGATAATTAAAGTACTGTAATAGATGTTTATGTTATTACGCTACTAGAAGTATCGTAATTTTATCTCTATTTACAACGGTATTTTAATTACTATAATGGTCGCAATGCATTACGGTAGAAAGACTACCGTAGATGGTCTTTTCGTCCAGAAAATGCCAAAAATTGGGAAAAAATGTGTCGGCAAGGTTTTGAGAAGTTGTTTTTGCGATTTTCTTAAAATTAAGATTTATTAATGATAGTTTCCCAAAAATCAACGGATACAAGGCTACAATCATACATATTTATGCTTGATTGGAGAGTTGTTCTCTTGGTGCTCTGAGGGGAAATATCTATGGGAATAGGGTTGAGGTCGTGGTAGTAGCACGGAGCGTTAGCTACCGGTCTAGATTTTCATTCTCATTTACGCATTTGAAAACTAATATAAAAACGGGTAGGAGCTTAGACTCCCCACCGATCTACCAAAAAAAAAAAGAGGAAATATCTATAGCCTTGTGCATTAATGAACAAGGATTCAACGCTAAGCAACCCAAGAGATGCATGTTGAGGTTTGGACTCATAAATAATCAATGCATGCCCCATATTCCATGATATATTGCAGCTAAGTCAACATTTGGTTCAAATACATAGGCACATGTTAAGGCTGATTATATTGTAGGAAAAATATGTAAATCCTCCCTTCTGAATTTGTTGTTGTATATACACCCTCAGGTCTATGGATAGCCTATGGACCTCTTAAAATAAAAATTAAAAAAACTCAAATAACCCTTGACTCCTTATTTGCCTTGTTTTTTTTTTTTCTTTTTTCAAAATTATTTTTTATTTTTTTTACTTATAGCTCATAGTCCATAACCTTTCCCCTTTTTATTTCGTTATATCCCCCTCCCCCAACTCCCTTTCTCTCTCTTCCTTCACCCATTTTTTCTCTCCTCCAGATGAATTTTCACCCCTTTTTCTCTCTCAACCTCATGAAGCTTTTTCTACTTTTCTCTCTCTTTTATGTGAATCTTTTGTCATTTCTCTCTCTCCCCTATTAACCATTTCCCTCTCTTTCTCACGGGGTAGTGAGAGAAAGGGGATAGGGGCAAAATTCATGGGGAAGAGAGAAAGAAGGGAAGGTTCATAAGGGAGAGAGAGATAAAGAGACAATGGGATTAAAATGAGAAAAATAAGAAGGGATTTGGACTTTTGGGTGAAAAAGTGAAAAAGAAAATAATGATTTGGGAAAATAAATAGTTGAAAAAGGAGCTAGGAGATTAGGTGTTCCTTTTTGGGCGACTCATGGACCCAAAGGGGTATATGGGGCTATAAATTTATACGAGCGGTTTTATGTATTTTTCCCTTCTGTATACAGGATTAATGAAATGGTGGTCTTCAACCTTCCCGTGGATTGGAGCATCAGAAGATTCCATGATTATGCAAAATTCGATGGAAATGGGTCTTGAGAGCATGTAAAAATTATAGAGATGTGAGAGAATGTAACAATGTGGTCTTAGGCCTTCAAGTCCAAGTTTAGGATGTTGGGAGTTGTGGACTTTTAAAGGCCTTAGGTTTTGTATTGCCCCATATGGGATATCCATGTTATTAGTAAAATACAAATAGACAACCAAGTTTGAGTTGGTGGATAGAACCACTTTAGATGAAAAATGCCTTAAATCTAGATAGTATACTCTTTGCTAAATTTATGATGTATGGTTTTATTCTCATAAATTTGGAACTCTCTTATTGGTGCATGGATTTATGCCATGAACCACATATCTATACAATCAGATGCATATTCAAATAAAAAATTGATATGGATTATAGCCTTATGATTTTGATGTTCTTTAATTTGTTGATAAAATTTATAGTCATGAGGTGTGTACCATTTGTTAGGTTTGGTGATAGCTAAATCATCATATCCATATTTTCTTCTGAAGATTAGGGTATTATGGGAAATAGAAAATTGACTTTATTAGGAAGCAAGAAAGTGATATATTTATAAGATAGTGAATGAGGACATAATACCTATCATTTGAAGGTCACCCCTTTGGGGGTTATGGGAATGGATCTCCAAGAGAGAGACATGGCCTCTGAGAGATAAGCGGTATTCTCAGGAGTTTTGGGTTGGTTAACTTCTACTTCTAGAAAGAAAAAATCTCTATATTGCCCTCAAGACTATTTTTCAGTAGCGGTATTATAATGAAAAAGATGATGTTGATCGACAGTGTTTCTCGGTCTAGAGAGCGGGTTTAGAAAGGAAGATCGGTGATGGTCTTTTACTGATGTTTAGAGATAGGTATTATCTATTGTAATCCAAAATTGTAATCTTCATTGTGATAGTGGATTTCTAGTTGCCGAGGCCGTAGATGTAGTCCTATGGGGTGAACCACATAAATCATGTGTTGTTTCTCGCACTCGATTTATAGTTGCATTCATCTACTTCGTATTTGGCCAATCATGTACATGATCTTAGGAGGGATCCCGGTGTTTGGGATTCCTGAAAACCCTACACCATTTATAATTTTTTGTAAGCACATGCTTTTTCTGTTGAAAGCATGTTGAAATTTGTTGAAAGTGTTTTATATAAGTTTTCGAGCTTTGTAGATTGTAATTTCAGCCACATTGAAATCATAGCTAGGTGATATTTTAATTTCTTATTATGTTCTATGTTGTGAGTTTTGTAATGAGAATTCGAGCTGCCATTGTAAAAGGTGGGTCTATAGAGGATTTTGGTACTGGTTATTTTTTTGGGATGGTTAACCATTTTCCTGTTGTGTAGAGTTTACAATGTTAGAGATAGTGAAGCAACCTATTTGTGTTTTTAAATTGCATCACTAGACCACATGTCAAGGCAATTATTTTATATTTCTATTTAACTTTGGATATGACATTATTAGCGAATGAATTGCAACATTCGGCTGCATTTCGGCCAGTTTTTTAAGGTTCTCAGTAACTTCGTATAGAGCCTAGGCTCTAAACAATCAAATTATAGCATACCTTCAAATAGTGTCGAGAAATGTGGTTTTAATATTGGAAATCCTTGTTATATCCTTAAAATATATTTTCATATTTAGTTATAAAGTTTAAAGCTTCAAAAATAGTATAGATCGACAAATCTATAGTTTATACGTACATATGGAGACATAAATATTCCTCATTATGAGCAACTATTTCTTACTTCTTCATTGTTTGTGAGGTTACTATTTTTCTCAAAAAGTTTATTCTCCAAGTCTACATTTGTTGTTTAGTGTTTTATATGCATCAAAAGGATTAAAGCCTTGCTTCAAAAATAGTTTGTTACAATGTGAAACATGTATTATGCCCCATCCAGCAACAAACCAAGAAGCTGAGCCTGAGGTCATGTACTTGCGGCGGCAACACATCTCTAATGATGTTTGGGATGGAATGATAAATAAATCTACAAGAACTAGAGAATACCTACCTACTTGATCAACAATATATTGACAAATGACTAATCAAGTACTTTCACAAATCTTGACGGGAGAGGAAAACTATATATCTGGACGAGAGATGGAATCATGTCCAAAGATGGTCTTGGTTGCTAGAGAAGAGTCATTGGCCCTTGTATATCTATGCCTATGGAAGG